GGTAGTATGGAGGATTTAACCATTGTAATAAGGCAAGAAAATAAAATACAAGGCATAAAGTTGAAAAGAAAGAAGTAAAACTGTCTTTATTTGCAAACATGACGATTGATGTATAAAATCCTAAGGAATTAAAAAAATACTAGAACTTATAAGTAAGTTTGGCAAGGCCACAGGATATAATGTGTCAATTTTAAATATTAATTATATTTCTGCATTCAAACTGTTGGAAATTGAAGTTAAATAAACAATAACAGGCATAACAGCATAAAAATATGTAGGGATAAATTTACCAAAAGATGTACAAGATTTCCACACTGAAAGCAATAAAACATCACAGAAAGAAATTTTATAGACTAAAATAAATGGAGAGCTATACTATGTTCATAGCTGAAATAGTTCAAAATAAATAGTCAACTCACTGACCGGGAAAACTACTTGCTGTACAAATATCTGACAAAGGACTCATATCTAGAATGAGTATGTATGCACACAAGTCCTCATTTAATGTCATCCACAGGTTCTTAGAAACTGCAACTTTAAATGAAACAATATACTGTATACATAAGAATTTATTAATACCTCTTGTTTTTATCAATTAGCTTGTTGTAAAATTGGTTTTGTTATACAGCAAGAAGGAATTCTGCCAGCAGTCAGACTTGGCCTTCGGACTTGAGTTGCAATGTTATGTCAGATTTGGCTTTCGGACTTGAGCTGCAATGTTATTAGGTCATTAAATATGAAATGTCCAATTTCAAACCAAAAGTTTAATTTATCATATCTCAAACAAGAAGCAGTACAATTAATCAAAGTATGCACCTAAACTGTTGACACAGTTTTGCCATCTTAACAGTAGCTTGTTTATGCCAGCAGTGAAGATTCCTGGAGAGCAAGTGGCGATGCAATCATGAAAGGTATTTTCCACACCTTGTTGAGAATTGAATATTTTCCCTAGCAAGAAGTGGTCCAAAGCCTGGAAGAAGTGGTAGTCAGTTGGTGCAAGGTCTAGTGAATATGGTGGATGACAGTTCCCAAGTCCAGCTGCCATAGTTTAAAGAATGTTATTTGTGCAACATATGGTCAAGCATTGTCTTGCAAGAGGTCTGTCTCTATTGATCAATCTTGGCTGCTTAATCCTCATCGTTTAGTCCAATTGGTTGCAGTAGACATCCGCTGTAATTGATTGACAAGGTTTCATGAAGCTATAGGGGATAATATCAGTGCTGGGACACCAAACAGACACTATTAGATTTTTTTTGATGAATATTCAGTTTTGTATTGTGTTTTGGCACTTCATCTTTATCCACCCATTGTGCTGAATGCTTGTCATTGTCAAAATGAATCCATTTTTCATCTCACATAACAATACAGTGTAGAAACGGTTTGCGTTTATGTTGTGACATCAAAGAAAGACAAACTTCAAGATAATTTCTCTTCTGACGCTCATTCAATTCATGCAGAACCCATCTATCCAGCTTCTTTACCTTGCTGATTTGTTTCAAATGGTCCAATATTGTTGGAATAGTAACATCAAACCTTGTTGCTAATTCACATATAGGTTAAGATGGATTCACTTCCACTATGGCTTTCAGCTCATCATTATCCACCTTGGTTTCAGGTCACCCACGTGGCTCATTTTCAAGATTAAAATCACCAGAACAGAACTTCTCAAACCATCGAGATACTGTGCATTCATTTAGCCACATCCTTTCCAAACACTTCCTTGATATTTCAAGCTGTCTGCATTGCATTTGTTCCACGACGCAACTCATATTCGAAAATAACACAAATTTTTGACTTATCCATGGTTTCACAAAAATTGCTCTAAAAAAAATTTGAAAGATAATCACAAGCCAAAATGTGTGTTTGGAATACTGAGGATGTACCTTCAGAATAAAAATAAAACAAGAAGTGTCAAAGTGAAATGTCAGAGATATCAACTGTCAAACTTAGTACTTAAGGAAATCGGACATTTCATACTTAATAACCTAATAGCTCTTCCTTTGGTCTTCAGCCTACCCTGCAGAGTTCAGACTTGCCCCACAATTGTATGATTCGATTCCTTCAAATTAAATCTCTTTCTCCAATATCTCTCTTTCTCTCTCTCTCTCTCCACACACACACACACACACACACACACACACACATTCTAATGGTGCTGTTTCTCTGGAGAACCCTAAGGCAACTCTCGCACTGAAAATCTTCACATTTTATTATAATTGAGAAAAAGAGATGGGGGCACTGAGGGTGTGCCGGGGGAAATATATCTTTCTGACTTTCAGATGTGAACAAGAAATCATATAGCCCTAGATTCTGCTGGTGTTTATTTTGAGGTGAGTAGTCTTAAGATAAAGTCAACCTGTGGAAAAAGGATGTGAGAAGGAAAGAACCTAACTGGATGATACTGGATTTCCAGAGTCAAGTCTGCCCAGACTCTAGACGCACTGATAGGTGAGCTGATAACTTCGCTTATAGTTTGAAGTGGGCTTTTATCTTTTGCTTTAGTCTACAAGCATATGACCTGCTTCCTATGTTGGGATTCCCCCACCTTACAAGCCAGAGCCCACTTTTCACCAGAGAAATAGAAAATGTCGTATTCTCACCTTCTCATCTTTCCTTGAACCTAGTGTGTGACATGACCTAGTGTAAACACACACAAAACAGAAGCTAGTGATGAATTATGAAGCTTCCTGAAGCATGAAGCAGAATCAGGTGCTGAGCAAATTCTGTTCTGGGGGTTTTGGCCAGTGACCACTGTGTTCAGTTTCCAGAAACAGCAGTATCACTGGTTTTAGGTAGGAGCAGCATCTGATGTCTAATGTAGGTGGTACCTGTGGTACATCTCTGATGTATGTGTCCTGTGGTGGCTGCAGTTATACTGCTACCAGAATGACTCTGTGGATGTATTTTGGCTTTTCTGGATTTGACAGCCCAAATCTAAGTTTCCAGCAACCTTAATTCCCACAAACCTCAACTCCCTAATATCCTTTTGAAAAAGCTCTTTTTCCATTTCTGTTTGTCAGAATTGGCTCCAGTTGCTTGATGTTAAAACACCACTTGAAATTTTGTTGAAGCTACCTTCAGTAGTTCTCTGTTAACTGAAGCTAAATGTATTTAAATCATCCCCAGTCCTAGGCTCTATCAGTTATTTACTGCCACAGTAATGCTCTGAGGCCAACAACTCAGTAGATTCAAACAACAATTATTTATTCTCGTCTGTGGGTTGCCTGGGAATCAGCTGATCTAGGTTGTGTTCAGCTCACCTTGGCTGCAAAATGCAGATTGGATCTAGTTCAGCTCCATTTACCTCTCATCCTCCTTGGACTACCCAGGGCTTGTCTTCTCATGAAAATAACAGAGTTGGGAAAGACCAACTGTGCAATTTTAATTCAAGCCTTCTCTTGTTAGGTCCACTAGTATCCCAATGGCCAAATGACATGAATAGGCCCAATATCAGTGAAGCAGGGAAATATATTCTCTACACACTGTGAGATGAACCATAAAGCCACATGACAAAGGGTATGAATAGAGGGAGGGATGGAGAATTGGGAACAATAATGAAATATGCCATATCAACTTATACTGGCCCCACCTTTATTCCACCCCAAACAAAAAACAGCGTTAGCTAACAGCTGCTGGTGGTGTAACTGTTTCACAGCTGTGGAAGTCTTACCACAAGAGGTCTTGGATACAACAGCCTTCAGATAAACAAATGAATCAGTATTATCTTTGAATAATCAGGCAACGATAGAATCATAAAATAATTGGACTTTCAGGCATCTTAAATACATTCCAGTAAACTCTATGGCTTGATTAATAAGAAAACTAAAGCACCAAAAGGTAAGTGACCTTGTCAGGGTTGTAGAGCTCGAAATGACAGAGCAACTAAAATTCACTTCGGTTTCCTTCTGGGTAAATGCCTCTAACCCTTAGCTATTTTACCCACGTTACATTGTGGCAAAAAGTTCACTGTGTTTCTCAAATCACTTACAGCTCCTCCTCCATATCACACTAGACATAAAATTGGATGTGTGTCTGGGCCCGTCCACCCACAGTCGACCACTCAGTGGCTGCTGGTTCAGGCTAGAAACCTCGTGGACACTGGGACAGCTGAGTCCCCAGAATAAAGATGGCAAACTGTTGCCAGGTGAGTCCTCTTAAGTGACACAAGTTATCTGTCCCCTATTTACAAACACTTTGAAGATTACAGCCCTTATAATTAAATCCTTATATACAAAAAAAATTTTTTAAAACCTTTACACATCTTCCCAGGGCACTAGTGGTAGCCACAGCTTTTGTTTTCTCCTCCAGTTAAAGGCAGCGTTGGTACCCAGCAGCTGGGAGATCTGGGGCTGGATCCTGAATCTGTGACCCGGGCAAAGCAAATTGACTTCCGTGAGCCTCCTTTTCCTACTCTGTGAAACAGGGATGGTAACAATGAGACGCTGTGACGAGGTCAATATTTTGGAAGACATCAATGTGTTTTTCTCCTTTGCCTCTCTGAGTGTGCCAACTACTTCTTCCTCTCCAGCCTGACCCGCAGGTATATTACCTTGGAAGGGGTGAGGACGGGGGAAGGAGATTAGAATTTGTGTCAAAAGGTTTGCAAAGAGAAAGAAGGGATCAATATTTAGATTCTGGCATTCAGAACAGGGTCATGCGGCAAGACAATTGCTCTGAGAGAGTCTTTCTCCTTTCCTTCACCCACTCCCACCCCAGCCCTCTTCCCCACCTCACAGTGTTTTTCTCACAGCAGCATGAGAAAAACCAAGTCTGGAAGTTTCAAGTCCTAACAATTCTCTCATAATTTAGAAAATGGGACTTGTGCCTATGGCAGCTGGATTTTGGCAATGGAGAAATAGGGGAGGGACAGACACAGATGTTGTGGGCTGGGCCCCAGGCAGCTGCACGTCAGTTTCCAGCACTTCCTGGTGACTGTCCTGGACTTGATTAGGTTTCATTTTCCCCTGAACAACAAAAGGACATAAGAAGGGCTCCAGCAAACAGCTGCCTGGCTGAACTGGGACAGTCAGAGCCCAGGATAATGGCTGCGACGCAGGCCCTCGGGAGTTCCAGCGCCGGGCAGACCTGCGTGCTCATCCTGATCTTCACCGTGCTCCTGCAGGCGCTCTGTGTGGCCGTGACGTATGTGTACTTCACAAACGAGCTGAAGCAGGTCAGTGCCGTGCTCACAGCCCCGAGGCTCCGGCGCTGTCGGGTTACCTGCCTCTCCTTTGCCCCTCAGCTTGCTCCTCTCTGAAGACTTCACTGTGGAAGGAAATGCTCCCTTTCTCCGTCAGGAGGCTCTAACTGCTAATGCATATAATTACTGAGACTTTCACAAAGGACTGTGTAAACCAAGTGCTGTTACTAACAGGTGCAGGCAACAAAACTCCAGAGGACTTTTTTTGTTTGTTTTTAAAAGTATATGTATTTTATAATACTATTAATTGCAACCATTCATGAGAGCTTTCTGCTAAATGCTTTATAAGTCTTGACTCATGAGTACTTTGGGGTGAGGGGAGCTGCATCAGGGCAGGAGGTGTGTCTGCTTTTGCTCCCCATTACACCTCTGAGGTCTGGCATGTGGCTCCCGAGTGGCCACCGATACTTAATACTTGCTGTTCACTAAATAAATACTTGTTGAATGAATGAACAGCCTTCGCAAATGTGCTAAATACCACTAATATGCAGACAGCAAGGGTAGAGCTGGGGCTCAACCCAAAGCCAAGCTCTAAACCACGGAACACTGTTGTGTGGTGTTCCAGGTGTAGCTCATCCCAGTGCACAGACGTTACAGAAGATCGAGATTCCCGCCCTGCATGGACAGCAATGCCCTTTTGGGACTGATTGCTTATTCTCAGACTTTGGGGCTATTAACCAATGCCAGCATCTCCCTCCCACCCCTTTTTAAGAAATATATTAAATTTTTAGGTAGAAAGCCTTCACATAGACAAGTTAGACTTTCAAAACTTTGGAGGTAGAATAATGTGCATATAAACAAAAATCAGAACCAAGGTTTGGAATACCAGTTTCCCTTTCCTCTAAGACTGAACATGGGGTGGAGATAAATCAGATCTCTGAAATGTTTCGGTTTAAGATCTTGGCATTCCTGTGTTGGAAATCAGAGAAAATGCTGAGGACTGACATTCCGCCTGTTCCTTGGACACAGGCATGTCATGGGTAGTATTTGTAATAAAGACGTTATCAGCCAGACTCAGCAGTTTACTGTTCATGATAAAATAACTGAAAATAAAACTGCACTCTACACCCATGGATGGTTCAGGTATAAATCCAGGTATGTCTGACAATAAAAAAAAAACTTAGTGCCATTTAAATTTATGATTTTCTCAATAAAAATTTTTCTGGAACTATGAATGTAAAATTGCTGAAAATAAACCAACTCAATTTTTGGCTTCTAGTATATATTTTTACTAATTATATATTTATTATATAGTAGAGAATTACAAACTGGAAAGAATTTTGGACACCTCTCCCCCCCCATTTTACAGATGAGGAAACTATAAATGACTTACTCAAGCTAAGACAAGGCTTTGGAGGCAGAGCTGGGGCTAACACCCAGTCTCTGGGCACCTAGGTAACCCTCTTCCGTCCACAGCAAGGTGTCCGTAATGTGTCCTGCATATTTGTCCCTCATGATGCACAGTGTATCCTGCAATAGCAACTCTGCCGGCTGACTAGGAAATGCAAAGCTAAGCATCTCAGAAAAATATAAATTGTGCAAAAGCCATAGAGTGTTAATTATCTGTTAGGGAAATGCTGTCTGTATATCCTGTGGAGTGTAAATTTGGTTATCTCAATCAGTTGGAAATTTTTCTTTTGGAAATAGATGAAGTAGACTCTTCTTTCATTTGCAAGTTATTATGAAAATTATGGCTACCATTATATGACCAGTAAAGTCAGCTTTATTGTGGAGCACATTTAGAAGAGCCCGCATCTTTGTAAAGAAACAAATCCACATAGCTATAATCATACCTTTAGCTCCAAGTCTGGGTGAGAGACTGGAATACTGCTATGTTTACCAATTTGGAGCCAGCGTGTCCTAACCTTTGTTAACTTTGCAGCATAAACAGAGTGAAGCCGTTTTGCCATACACAAGAGGCTCCATCGATGTGCTCTCATTACAAATTGGTTTCATTTTAAGACTGAATTAACTGGTTCTTTACTGAGCTGACTCATTCAGTTGTCGATATATGTAATCAAGTTTCTTTTTAAATTCTGCTATGAAAATGGAAATTTCAAATAAAGCTTAATATCTCCCTCTTGCACACATTTTTCTTAATTGTATATTTACATGTATATACATACATGTATAGGCCTGCAGAAGAGAGTGCTAGAAAGGGAGGAGAATTAGCAGATATTGAGCAATTACTATGTACCAGAAACTTTGAAAAGTATCACCCTGTTTCATTTTCATAACAATTCTATAAAGGAAGTACAATTACCTCATTTTATGGCTGAACGAAAGCTCAAGGAAGTTAAGTGGTTTGTTCAAGATTACAAAACTAGTAAAAGAAAAAGCTTGATTTTGAACCCAGGCAATAAGTAGGTGCTCAATAAATTGTAGCCATTCTAATTACTACTGAAAAGTCTCTTGAAGGTGTCACTTTCTTTGTCAGAAATTTTCCCAAGAGAAAATAAATCTGAATTTCCTTGGGTATCTGTGTAGAGTTTGGAAAAACATATTTGACATAAATATTAATTTCCTAAACAATTTCCATTTTGGTGATAAAAGTTTGCAAAAGGCATAGTAAGCTAGGATTGTAGGGAGTAGGCATTAAGGAATGCTCCATAACATTGGATTGGACTTTCACAAATAAACCTGTAGACCACCAAACATGAACAATAAACATGGGCTGAGCCTCTGAAGTCTGTGTCTCTTTGGGTTAGTTTTTTGACAAGGGAATGGCCTGTCACTGTGGCATCATAGATGGGGAGGCAGAAGGAGAAGATGACCCCTCTTCACATATCCTTTATGCTACTCGTGGTTTGCAGAAAACGATTGTCAGAGACTGACACCTGTGCAGCAGAGAGGGTCAGTGCTGCCAACCACAGTCTCCGAGCCAGCAAGGGAGTCCACCCTGCTGACCTCAAGCTCCACCAAGGGCTGGTTGGCCCCGGCCTAGACAACTGCCATATTTGTAGCCGCACTAAGAGCACTAACCATGGAGATCTACTTTTCAGAACTGAGGGCTTCTGGAGCTGAAGAACAGGCACCGAGTGCAAGAGCCGTCCTTCCTTTCAGAGGCGTGCAAATAAAAATAGTGCACGCACAAGCTCCTGCCCCAACACCCAGACGTGGTTAGCTAGAGAATAAATAGCCCCAGGCTATGATGTGCTTCAGGGAACTCAGGCTTTGAAGTGGAAAGGATGTGGAAAGGATGGGGGTGCCAGGAGAGAGACATAGCGCATTAATCATCATTAACCATTCTTGGAATAACCACTGCACCCCACAACCTGCCATGTGTCTAGTCACCAGCACTGGCCAGGGCTGTAGAAGAAACTACCAAATACGATAATATAAGAAATGTGTGAGGACATGAAAGGTGGCTGGGCCTTCCTCTCTGGGTTTCTATTGTTCAGAAATCAATATTTATTCCTAAAAATGTCTGGAAAGTTAAACACTAAAATGGCAATTGAGATCTCTAGATAGCAGGATTATGGGTGTCTTCTATCCCTTTTATTTTATAAATTTTTATCCTCTATATTTTATAAATTTTCTACAGTGAATGTCATAAAAATACCTATGCTACCCATGTATGATTTTCACACAGATTTAAAGAACATGACATGTTTATGTAGTCTTATTAGAAAACAACCACATACAAAACTGCATAACACAGCCTGATGTCAACCCTGCGAACTAGGGAGGTCATCCAAAGGTTAACTGTGAGGTGGGATTATGGTGCTTTAGTGATTGTTTTTGGTTTTGTTTTTTCACTTCGTTTTTGGAGGTTTTTTTAATGTTGGCAAAGTGTCCTTTACTTTTCCATGTTTTCCAGGTTGCCTGTGTATCCTGAATGTATCCCAGCTTTCTTAACTTTGGGGTAATCATAGAGCTATTAATACAGTAGCTTGTCAAGCTCCCACCCACATATACCCAGGACCTTACTCAATTTTCAAGGCTCCCTCTCCCACCTCCTGAAAGTGTTTCTGGAAAATCCCCGGGGAGTATCGTAGGCGCCAGCCAGCACTCTGTACTTACCTGGGCTGGCCCCTGCTGCTCCAGTGCCACCTCCACCCCTGTCAAACTCACCGTCCCCAGGCAGCTGTCCCTCTAGCTAGACTCCCATGCTCTCAGCCCTTGCCTGCCGAGACAGCTTCCAGCTGCTGTGAAGCCAGAAGGCAGACATCTCCCTCCCTTCCGTGTCACGCATACTTTTTGCCCCAACAAGTTACAGAGGTTTGTGAGCCTGTTTGTTCAGTTTAGCCAAACCAGCGCCTGACAAGAGCAAACTTATGCTGGCTGGACTGAGACAGGACCAAGGAAAAGCTTTCTCTTCTGGGAACCACCCTTCAGCCTTGAAGCTTGTTCGGGATCTTCCTCTCTTCCTTCCTGACTCTGCCCCACAGTTTGCTGCTGGCCATGCTCTCGTTATCTCTAAATCATATGTGACTGGCTGCCTTCCTTGGAAAGGCTTTTCAGCTTCCAAGTAATTGGAATACAACTAGATGTCTGCAGTAGAAGTACATTGGCAGGCAGGGGCAAGGAACAGTGCCTAGGTCAGTGCCAGGCACATCTAGACTCAGGTGGCCTCAGCTTCAACCCCAACTACTTCTACTAGGAGAATGTTTTTCTCTTGTAATTTAAAAGAGGAAGAAAGAAAATAAAAAAAATATTTGTTTTAAAGTAAACGAATGTTCTATGTCAGGGTGTGTGGAAGGAATTCATTAACTCAGGTTTGTACTTTTGCACTCGAAAGACCTTGACCAAATGTCCAAGGGTTACATGGCTGTGTACAGTACCGCGTGACTCTGGCTGGGACCTCTCACAAACAGTTATGTTATTTTGATTTAAAATGAGATTGTTTTTCTATAGGAAAGAGTGGCTCATCATTAAACTTGATTCCTCCCTCAAGCATTGCAGTACCCTAAATTCAAAGAATAGATAAAAATGGCCATTTCCCCATTTGTTTCCCCCAGATAAAGACAACTCATATTTTTATAGGGAAATAACATGTCTTCAAGTCTAGATGGTAGGAAAGAAAAAAACCTTCTGGCTTTGTGAAGACATCCTGTTTTTCTTGATTAATAAGATGTCAGCCTGAAGAGTTCTGGCTGCTTTGGGGGATGTGTGTGTGTGTATTTATAACATGAAGCAAGGACTTGTTGACATGGGAGAAGACCATTGACAATGATTTAACTATTGTAAATGTTTACAGGGAGCAAACCTTCAAATGCTGTTTAAAGTCTCTGCAGATAAATCCCTAGCTAGTATGGACGTTTAATAAGATACCACTCAGATTTCTGGTGGCGACATGGTACAGATTCTGCCATTCAGAGAAGCAGAATTCAGGTTAATAACTAGAATCTACTCAGCCAGCCAAAGCCCAGATCAAGGGACAGAATACTACCTTTCCCCAAAAGGTTCGACTAATTTTTATTTAGAATCCTTTCCTTCACTGTGCGTCTCACAAAAGAAAGAAAGAAAAAAAAAATAGAGTCCTGGAATTTACCCTGACTCCACTGCCTACCTTGTATCCAGGTGGATTTCTGGCTTCAGAATAGGATCCCCACCGTGGCAGAGCTGGAAGGAACCTCGGACGTCATCACGGTGAACCAGTTCAAAATTCTAAGGAAGGACAGGCACGGGAGAGGGGAAGCAACTTGTCAAGGGACACGCAGCTGTTCAGTGACATGGGCAGGGATGGGCACTGTGACCCAGAATGACTGGCCCATACCTGTGTTCTTTCCATCATATCCAACTGCTTACTTTTAGTCTTTTGTTTAAAGGACAAGGGACAGCATGCTTACTTTTATTACAAGCATGCACTTATCTAAGGTGCCAAAACTTCTCTGAACCTGTCATCAGTTTCTGTTGTTTTAACTTCCGGATGAACAAAAATTAAAAGCACCTGTGCATAATGTTATGTTATATCCCATCTCAACCCAGATGCAGGACAAGTACTACAAAAGTGGCATTGCTTGTTTCTTAAGGGAAGATGACGGGTTTGGGGACCCGAATGACGAAGAGAATATAAACAACCCCTGCTGGCAAGCCAGGTTTCAACTACGTCAGCTTGTTAGAAAGGTAAGTAACCTCACCAGCAGGCATAGAAGGCCAGAGGAAAAGAAAACTTTCAGATCATCACCTCTAGACTGCACATTTTGCAAATGAGGAAACTGAGGCCCAAAATATTTAAGGGAATTTTTTCCAAATTCATAGAAGTAGGAAAAGGTGGCACAGCAGGCACCAAACAGCAGGTCCTGGCTGCCTCCTGGCCTCCAGTCATTTCTCAACCTCAGACATCCTCCTCAGCTAATCTAAGCTTTTGGATTACGTTACAGAAACTGAGGCACGGACAGGGCAATGTGTTCAAGGTCATACAGTAATAAATGGTGTGTGTAATTTTTGTTTTCATTCAGAAGACAAAGGAGGCCAAATAATGATGTAATCTTTTTTTTTTCTTTTAACCTAGAGACATAGTCTCATTCTGTCGCCCAAGCTGAAGAGCTCTGTCATAGCTCACTGCAGCCTCAAACTCCTGGGCTCAAGCTATCCTCCTGCCTCAGCCTCCTGAGTAGCTGGAACTACATGCATGTGCCACCATGCCCAGCTAATGTTTTAAAAAATTTTTTTGTAGAGATGGAGTCTCACTGTGTTGCCCAGGCTGGTCTTAAACTACTGGCTTCAAACGATCCTCCCACCTTGACCTCTCAAAGTCCTGGGATTACAGGCATGAGCCACTGTGCCTAGCCATGATGTTTTATAATTTTCCCACAGTGCTGATATATGGAATTCAATATATATTTATTTTTGTATGCATATAAAGTTGAAGAAAGAGGAAAGGAAAAGGCAAGAAAGAGATACTTTGAGAAATTGAAGACGATGTCATCTTAATTTATAGTCAATAAACAACAAATTTTAAAAGTATCTGTTTATGGAAGTTGCTTAAACAGGATCTGTAGCAGAAACGTTATGTTTAGCTAACAGTTTATTTTACTGAATGTGGTTAACTAATTTTACTTTCAGCAATGTGACTTAGGTCAAATCAAGTTTCTTTTCTTGGGTTGCTTTTTTTTGAGATGGCATTTAATTAATAATATTTGCCCTCTGCCTACATGAAAACGTCAGACGAGAACATGGGTATAAAAATACTCCGTAAACAATGAAGCACCGTTTATACATCATTGTTTAAGAACATGCTGGGGGAATTCCCAGGGTAGGAGGAGGATGTGTATTAGACATGTTTATAAGTCCATTGTTTGGTGCTCAGGATCAGTTTTTCTGGAGAAACAGTGTCATATTGGTGGTTAGGGAGTCAGCTTATAATCCTGAGCAGTTCTCAAAGTAGAGGCCAGGCATCATCTGTGACGCTGTCTCTATGGGAAATGAAAGCGGACTTCCACCTGGGAGTCCTAGAAGCTCACCTGCTCTGTGGCCACCCTGGAAGCAGGGCCCGGGCTGGGGAGCCCACTGAACACAAGCTGTCTGAGCAGCTGTGACTCCACCTCTCCAAATGACAGTGACTGTTCAGTGGGTGAGGACCAGGAGAAGCCCAGACAAGGAAGGGTCTTGAGGAACCTGAGAAATGGAGCTCTCAAGTCCCTGGGGTGTGGGGGAAGTGGGGATAGTGGCCCAGCAGGGGAGAGTGACTCCGGAACTAGGGTAGAAATCTGGAGATTGAGGAGGGAGCTGGGTGCTGAGGCCGGGGAGTGGGGAGATAAGAGCAGTGAGGGCAGATTTTACTTATCTCTTTCCTGCTATTCTCCCTCTGCCTCCTATTCTCACGTCCTGTTACTAACTAGCACGGAGAGAAGAACACAGAGGAGGTGGGCAAGAATGTGGGGAAAAGAATTCTCCATTTTTTCAAGCATATTAGTTGAACAGATTATTTCTAGTAAATATCCTATTCCCATTTCATACATTACCTCATTTAATTGTCATGACAACTCTGTGAGAAAGGAATCATTACTATCTTCATATATATACATTTTTTTTTCTTTTTGAGACAGAGTCTCCCTCTGTCACCCAGGCTAGAGTGCAGTGGTGTCATCACAGCTCACAGCCTCAAACTCCTGGGCTCAAGTGATCCTCCTGTCTCGGCCTCCCAAGTAGCTGGGTCTACAGGTGCATGCCACCACACCCGGCTAATTTTTTCTATTTTTGTAGAGACAAAGGCTCCCTCTTGCTCAGGCTGGTCTCGAGTTCCTGACTTCAAGTGCTAGGATTACAGGTATGAGTCACCACGCCCAGCCTATATATTTTTAAATAGATGAAGAAATTGAAGTTCAGATGAGTTAAGTGTGAGCAAAGTCTCAGAGGGCTAGTAATTGAAAGATCTGAATCCAGGTCCTCTGTACATGCTTGTAGTCACTTTTTTATTCTGCCTCCCACACAGTAGGAATTATCTTTCTCTCCTGACTTCTTTCCTTTTTGTTCCAGAATTAGAGAAAGAGAGAGCAAGAATGAGAAAGAGAGCCACATACAGAGAAGGGAGAGAGAGAGAGAAAGCCGAGGTCCCCTCTCACCTCCCCTTCCCCCACACCAGTGACGCAGGACTAACTACAGTCATCCCCCATCATCTGGGGTCAGGGCTTAAGGCAGAGGGAGAAGCCAGGAGCTTCTGGTTTGGGGTGGCGGTACGGAGGAGGCCTGTTTCTGGCAGTGCCGGGCAAAGGCGGCAGGAGGAACAAAGCTGAATGGAGGGATTTCCAAAGGTGGGGGTGAGGCAAGTCACGATCTGCCTGTTTAATGGAAAGGCTCACTTTTCATACTGGTTTTCCCCATCGGTTAGCACCAAGAGGGGGTTTTACTAGATATTTAGCATAGAAATGGGAACTTGGTAAAATATCTTTATGTTGAGAATGGCTCAGCCACATTCTCAGAAATGAGACTGACACGGTGTTGCCAGCTCATAGCTGATGGGCTGTGTATGTCTGTAGGCATCGTGCGAGAGGGGAAGTGTGCCCTATATTTTGGGGCTTGGGTCTGTCCCCGGGCTCTATTCCACAGAGCACTCACACACACACACACACACACACACACACACACACACACACATGCACACACACGTGCGCACACACACTCCCAACACAGAAAACGCTGTGGCAAGACTGCGCTATCTGTCGGCCACATGGACGCCTGGGGATGTCAGGCTGACCTAATGCGCCAGATGGCGCCCGGCTTCTGTGCTGCTGCGGGTGCGGCCTTTCAAGGATTTCCTCCAGAAACGGAACCTGCCCGGGGCAGAGGACCATCCTGTGATCACTGTGTAGGGACGGCTATCTCAGTATTTACCCAGCTCCCACCACACCCCTATGAACCCCGTGCTTGACCAACTTATAGCTTCCTTGATTGATACTGTATGTAGAAATTTCCTGTTAGGAATCAGCAAGAAGAGCCATAGGCATTATACAGCCAGTTTACATTTTTAGGGAAATTAACAAGCTTTATTCAATACTATTTGCAGATGATTTTGAAAACCTATGAGGAAACCATTCCTACAACTCAAGGTAGTATTTTTTTGTTGTTATTTAAATTTTCTGCTGTCCGTTCATGGTAGGATAAAGAGGCACTCCATTCTCCTCCTCTCTGCTCCCATCCATGCATTCCCCTTCTGACAAGCCACTCGTGGATTCTATTTCCCTCTTCGCATTGGCAGCTAGAAAGCTCAGAACCAAATCTGTCCCCCAGCTATAGTCAGAACTTTATTTCAACTTAATCTTATTTTTTCCCACATGAATTTACTTTCATTTCAATTTCTTCACTTATTTATTTTTTACCTTCTGATGTGTTATAAATAAACAAAAGTTACCCATCTTCTTTGCTTCTGACCACCACCAGGCTCGAGGCCTTGCTTTACACAAATGCTCCTTGCTCCATCGACCCTTTCCCAGTGGTCTTTCCATCCACCCACAATCCCCAGCCTGTGGTCTCCAAGCCACAGCACCTTCCCGTTCCTGGTTGGCAGCCTTCTCTTGACTCACATCCTCCGGTACTGTTGCCCAGGCTGGCTCCCTCCGCCCTCCGGCTAGTGCCTCCTCATCCTTCACGGTCCACCTAATCGTCACCTCTTCCGAGAGCCCTTCCCTGGGCAGCTTTCTGAGTGAGTTCCCCTGCACCCTGTTGTCTGCTGTTTCTATCACGCTTGCCTTGTTCATTTCCTATTACTTACGTATGTATTTTTTATCCATGTGCTGCCTGCTTCCCTACTAGATTAAAGATCCACGATGACAAAAAACACGTCTCTTTCTCTCACCCTCTATACCCAGCGCCTAACCCTATGCCTCAAGCCTAGTAGGTTCTGTTTCCCCCCACACCCTAGGCCCTTACCACCCCACCTTCAGTCTCTGTGTGTATGTGTGTGTATTTTTGTTGTTGAGGTAAAATTCACATAATATACATAAAGTGATTCATTAATCACTTTAAAGTGCACAATTTAGTATAATTGGTGTATTCAAAATGTTATACCACCACCACCTCCTCTACCCAGAAAATTTTTAATATGTATTTTTGGAATGAATAAATGAATAAGTAAATGAAATGACTGAATTAAATTTGCTACTTCTTCACATTTGGCTCACCGCATCCTCATCTTCCCATGCTAATGGCCATACCAGCCTGAATACAGACACCAGAGTCTTACAGTCCTGGGGCACTCCGGCCTGGCAGAAAAGAAATACTTTTTTAATATGTGTTGTCTTCCTACTTCCTACTTTTCCTACAATAAACTTCCTCATCATTTACAACCCCCATTTTTCCTTATCTTTTATACTTTGTACTTCCTTAAATATGAAGGACAAGATCTGGTTCTGGGGTCTAAGCATTCATTTCCCCAGAGGTGAAGTCATTAGTCAGAACGTGGAACACTCCACCCGTTCTGAGGAGGCATACCAGGTTCATGTCTACAGTAGATGCACGTATTGTTTTCAGTGGTGGAAGAATAATATTCCTTTTTGTTCATTCCAATAAGGTGGAGAAATCATGTACTACTCTGTATACCAGGGTGTATTCATGACATCCAAATATACATATTTGCGGGTTTCTTTTCTGGGATTTGTTTGCTATAGCCAGTAGGAAATTTCCTCTCTTTAAAATTTGCTTGCAAATCTAGGTTTTCCCATTCATATTCTTGCAATGACCTCAAATTCAGGATTTTATAATTGGATTCAGTTATCAAATATTTAAAAGCAATGTTAAGGGTTAGGGGCAGGCAAAGCATTATGAATTATTTAACAGTGAAGGTTAAAGGTAAATGGACACATCAACCTTGAAAGCTGAGCATCCTGAGAGGAGTATGTAATTGACTACTTGTCTCCATGCCACGTTTGGTCCTTGGTGTCACATAAATGCCCACTTGTCCTGAATAAGTAGCAACAAGTACCAGATAGATGGAAGAGATTCTCATTTCCCATGCATTCCTCCCCTGTGGAATTTTATCCTTTGGTTTCTTTTGCTACCAGCCTAGATTAAAGCCCTTGTTCTCAGTCCTGATCAATTATGACAGTCTGGTAACTCTCCCACCAGCCTGCAGCCCTCTCACCCCCATCCATCACACCTTCCTGTGACATAGGTTGGCTAAAGCACAACGCATATCTCTCTACTTTCCTGAACAAAACCTCTCAGAGTCTCCCCAGGACCTGTAAAGTCCAAACCTCTTAGCCTAACGTTAGAGCTTATAGTTCGGCTCCTCGTTCAAGCCTGAAGCTGAAATTGAACTCCTCCCAGGCCCATGTCCGGGAATGCTTTGTGCATCTTGCCTTGGGCCTCTGCACTAGCTCTCTGGGAATGCCTTTCTCCGATGACTGCAGGCCCCAGCCCTGCCCGCCCTCATCTTGTTCAGACATTTATTCTTGTACCTCAAACACTTTCTTGCATTTGCTTGTTTATAATTCTTTCTCCTTATCTCTAGAAGACTGCCCAGCACAAATGTGATGGGCACCTTGGTTTGTTGGAGCAAGGGAATGAGAGAGCCTCAGCACCATCTCCTCCACAAACCCTCCCTGACCTCAGCTCTCCAACAAGTAGGAGGAATCTTTCCCTCCTCTGAACACCCATCACCCTTTATTTCCATTTCTCACAGATAAATGTTCACTTTCTAATTCATATCTTCCATAAAAGCCTGCATGACCTTTGTGGGCTCAGTCAGTGGAATCAACGATTAATCTTTATAGCCCTGTAGAAGGTAGTACAGTGCCTTGTTCCTGGCAATATTTGTTTGATGAAAGAACATGATTTACCTTAACAGCCAATATAAGTACATTTGGGAATTTTAAGCAGATTTTTTAAAGAGAGTAGTTTGTTGAATTTGAATTGTTTTTTAGGCTTGCCCCAAAGTATGTTGGATGGTGGTCAATAAATGTTTCTGTTTATTATGATCCAGTGAATCAGAAATTTATATGCTCATATACTGAATATCATGGCCAGCATGTATTCCTATCCCTTTTTTAGGGTGGAAGGGGGGTGCAGGATGACTGTTGGATACCAGTTTGCAGCATCTATGGACAATTATTATTGCCTCTCCTTTAGAATTAGTAGCCAGCAAAGAGGAAAAGATAATTGAGATGACAAAAATTGGTACCACTCAAATTGTTTCTACATGTAACTCAAAGTCGAAAATGCCAATACATTGGTCATTTACTCACTTTAAATCACTCACAAGGATTATTACAAGTCTGCAGTTATTTATTTATTTAGGGGGAAAGGGGCCAGAAGTTTCACTTTCTTATGTTCTACTTGGACCTTGTCTTTGAGACACTGTTAAATTATAATCTAAGTTACTGCTTATTCTTCCCATCTAAAGTACTTTTCAAATTAAACATAAGCTGAAGTAGATTGATTATCATACTAAAATGTAGGCTATTTTTAATAATCAACTTTGGAAGCTCAGTATGTTTACAATGCCTTATTGACAACAGCTGTGAACTCAACCTATATACTTGAGAACTAGTTTGACAAATGCTGATGACTGTCATTTCTCTTTTAGAAAGGCAACAATTTATTTCTTCCGTAGTAAGAGACAGTGGTTCTCTGAGAGTAGCAGCTCACATAACTGGGACCAGACGAAGAAGCAGCACCTTCCCTCTTCCACGTAAGAGAAATAGCAAATAAGTGACTTAAAGGAAAACAATGGAAAAATCGTTCTGAATTTTTTTAACTTTTACCTGAAATGTTTATATGGCTATCTACAAAATGCTCAGTAATAATCAGGTCTCAGATTGTTTTCAGAAGCAAGATTATAGAGTAATAGCTCAGTGACTGCCATGGCTTCACTGGCCTCAGGAAAGTTACAAAGTGAGAGAACTTTATCTTTGAGGTTCCCAGCCTCCCGGTTTTGCTTTTTTCTTCTTCTTTAAAGTAATTTTTCTCTCTCTTTCTCTTTTATGATTACTTCTTCCATCACTTTGCATTTTCCTTCTTTGCACTTCCATCAAATCTCTGTTCTCTTCAAAAGTTCTAAATCATTTACTGTCACTATGAATCACTAGGCACTCCTAGTGGCATTTATACTAAGTTGAATCACAGGAAATTGCCAATATTTGACCATTTTTCACTGACATAAATGTCAGTTTCATATAGTTTAACCAAATATGTGCAGTCTAATTTTTATCTAGGTAGAACAAGTGTCAATATAGTGCTGTGATACTGTGCATGGGTGTTATAGTGTAAATACCTAGGTTGGAATCCCAGCTGCTCCTCACCTGGATATATGTTCTCAGAAAATTATTTAACCCAATAAAGCTCAAGTTTCTTCACATGAAAAGTAGAGATAAATCTTAATTTATAAAATGGTGAAGACTAACAGTAGCACATGCAAAATGTCTAGTCTATTGTTAGTACTCAATAAAGTCACCTTTACTATTATAAGAGGTTTTGTCTCAAGTTAAAAAAAATTCAGATATAAATTAATAGATTAAAAAGGTTGTTTTTTGGGGTTTCATTTGTTTGTTTTGTTTTCTGGGCAGTTGCCTTTCTGGTATTCCTGGTATTTATAAAACTCAGGTTTTTATAAATTGACATTTATAAATGCCTATGAGTGAGACAATTATTATAATGTTACTGTTTGCTATTTGCCAACGAACATGATAGTTGGTTTAAGCTCTTGAAAAGCTAAATTTTGCACCAATCATGGAGATGAACCCAAAGTTAAAGGAATATCATATTTTGATAGGGGCCTTTTTCATTTAAAATCTTTAAGTGTTAAAGATTCAGGGATCTGAGGATCTTTAAATCTGGGCTCCTTTGCCAAACCTCGTGCCTCTCTTATTTTGGACTACAGATGCCTTCTGTTTAGATGGTACCTTTGATTGTGGAGAGCTGTGAAAGACCAGCGAGGGACCCAAAGAGTCCCAAAGGAATGGCAAGAAGTCCCGAACTCTAGGCTTACCAAAGTGGAAGTAGTTACATTTCTTTTGGCTTCCTCATAGATCATCCATTTGAGTTCACCAGCACAGGATGGGGGGAAGGGATTCAGGACAGAAGTTCTATCCAGGAGTAAAGATTGCTAGCCACAACTGCTAGGAAACTCCTTGCTTTGGTACAAACTCCCTTGTGTTAACTCTCTTTTTCTCTAATCTTCATTCAGGCCCCAAGAATGAAAAGGCTTTGGGCCAGAAAATAAACTCCTGGGAGTCATCAAGGAAAGGACTTTCATTCCTGAAAAATTTGCACTTGAGGAATGGAGAGCTGATTATCCACCAAACAGGGTTTTATTACATCTATTCCCAAACATACTTTCGATTTCAGGAAACTGAGGAAATTGTGGGAACAATTTCAGAAGAGAACAGAAAGAAAAACAAACAAATGGTACAATATATTTACAAATACACAAGTTATCCTGACCCGATACTGCTGATGAAAAGTGCTAGAAATAGTTGTTGGTCTAAAGATTCAGAGTATGGACTCTATTCCATCTATCAAGGGGGAATATTTGAGCTTAAGGAAAATGACAGAATTTTTGTTTCTGTAACTAATGAGAAATTGATAGACATGGACCAAGAAGCCAGTTTTTTCGGGGCCTTTTTAGTTGGCTAAGTGATCTGCAAAGAAAAAGCAACAACTTCAAAGTGACCCTTTTTCAGGATAATATGAAGATGTTCCAACAAATCTGACCCAAAGAAGGCAACCTGAATGGAGCAGCAGAAATCAGGGAATTTGGTCTCGTGTGAACAGGAGAAGAAATGGGAAAGTGGAAATGACAAACACAGGCCAATCAGCAGAAAAGAGCCAGATAACTCCCTACCACCCCTACCCCTGTGCTGTCAAATGTCAACATTTGGTATACTGTATATCTGTATAACTGCCTAAGATTGCATCATTTATTGTGACCCTGCCTGAAGAACATTAATTACTTTTATCTTCCAAAATCATGACACAAAACATTTTATTTCACCATTTAAACTAACAAGTTGGGGAAAAAATTAATTGGAGCATTTGTCTAATCTGCTCAAATTGCTATTCCTAAACACAGCAAAATTTATACTCTTTGGTTGGATGCTCAAACATTCCTTTAAATATGTTTTGATGAAATAGCTCTTTTCCTTTTTTCCTTTTCTTTTTTTTTTTTTAAAGTTGTGGGTTTTTTTTGTTTTTTGTTTTGAGAAGAGTCTCTCTCTGTTGCCCTGGCTAGAGTGCCATGGCATCAGCCTAGCTCACAGCAACCTCCAACTCCTGGGCTCAAGCCTCCTAAGTAGCTGGGACTACAGCCATGCGCCACCATGCCCAGCTAATATTTTCTATTTTTTTTTTTTTTTTTTTTTACTAGAGACGGGGTCTCACTCTTGCGCAGGCTGGTCTTGAACTCTTGACCTGAAATGATCCTCCCACCTTGGCCTCCCAGAGTGCTAGGATTACAGGCGTGAGCCACCATACCTGGCCAATAGCTCTTTATCAAAAGGACTAATTTAAATTTACAACATACTAAGACACGTGGCACTTCTGACCCTTCTTACTTTATTGTTTCCGTAACACCAATTGATCATTAAATTGATTTATTTGTTATCCTGTTTTTGAAAGCTTCTCTCCTCTCAATAGAATACAGTCATCTCTTCGTATCCACAAGGAACTGGTTCCAGGACCCCCTCTTCCTACCAAAATCCACAGATGCTCAAGTCCCTTATATAAAATGGTGTAGTATTTGCATATAATATACACACATCTTCTCATATACTTTAAATCATCTCTAGACTACTTATATACCAAATATAATGTAAATGCTATGCAAATAATTGTTGTACTTAATTTGTATTATTTTTATTTTTGTATTGTTATTTTTAATTTTTTTCCAAATATTTTTGATTCATGGTTGGTCGAATCTGTGAATGTGGTACCCAAAGATACAGAGGGATAACTGTATAAGCATTGTGATATCAGGGAACATTTAATCTTGTTTATACCTGTATCCCCACTACTTAGAACAGTGTCCAAATATGTTTTGTGGGGGTACTATGTGTGGGTACTAGCGTGGTACTGTGTATGTCTACCCGCACAAAATGAATTTTTGAGTATGTGGATAACTGACCAATTGAATGAATACTTAACCGTATGGAAAACATAGAGAATCATTTTCTACCTTACCCCAGACAGCAAAATAACATCAGAGAATTTTAAAAGTTCAAAATGGAGAAGACCTTTTAATCCAAGATTTAAAACTCGAAGAAAAAGATGGACATTTTTGATAATATATAGCTTGGGGATGGGAAAGAGAATCCATTTTTATACTAAATTTTTGAAGTATGCATTACTTTTTCAATAAAATGACATTATGCTGATGTATGTCATTTTTGTTTTAGTGTTCCCATTTGTTTTATATTGTCAAGATTACTAAAAATGGGGGAAAAGACTTATCTTTTTTCATGATATATTTTATCTGACACATCTTACAGAAGAAATAAGTTGCTCACTTTTATTTAATATGATCAAGTGTATCAATCCTTTTCTTTATGGTTAGTGCTTTGGTTATGTGTTGAATTACATCCCCAGAAAAGATATATTAAAGTCCTACTCTCCAGGACCTCAGAATGTAACCTTACTTGAAAATGGGGTCATTGTGAATGTAATTAGTTAAGATGTAGTTATAGTGGAATAGGATGGGCCCTTAATACAATATGACTGATGTCCTCATAAGAAAAGGGAAATTTGACTGCAGAGACACACAGGGAGAACACTGGTGACAGCAGACGCAGAGACTGGAGTGTTGCGTCTGCAAGCAAAGTAACACAGAGAATTGATGGCATCGTCAGAAGCTAGGAAGAAACAAGAAAGGACTGATTCTACCCAGAGTCTCAGAGGAAGCACGGCCCTGCTGACACCTTGATTTCTGACTTCTGGCCTCCAGAACTGTAACAACTTTCTGTTGTTGAAAGCCATCTAGTCTGTGGCACTTTGCTCCAGCAGCCGTAGGAAGCTAATACAGCTTTCCATATCTTGTTCAAGAGACCTCTTCCACTGATCTTCATACAGATATCATTATATATTTTTTCTAAATGCTTTAAAGTTTGGCCTTCATAGTTTGATAGTGCCATTCAACTGTAATGTAACACATTAACTGCCATGAGGGTTAACTCACTCTAGTTTTGACCCTGAGGCCACGTGAAGCGTATATAAAATCTTACTTGTTGATGTTCTTATTGTTACAATTAATATTGACAATTTAATTCTAAAAACATGGATTAAACGAACAGAAGTCAATAAATTTCATTTTTCTATTTATATTTAGCTTTAAATTACACTGGAAATTTTTATTCTATTTTTGTAATAAAACACTGTGGCCCCGAGGAAAAGTTTCTGTTTCTTTTGTGTGGCAGTCAATGTGGCAATTTGTGTGTGATGTGATCTAGGAATCTAATTTTATCTTTTACCATATAAATACCAGTTGTCCAACACTGTTTTTTGGATAGTCCACCCTTTTCCTCGCTGATTTTAATGTTCTTCTATCACATACCTAGTTCCCACAGTTCTGTTTCTGTGTTCGTTTTTTTCCCCAGTTGATCTAGTTGTTTATTCTTGCACCCATACCAGCTTTTTAAATAAATTGTGGTAAAATATAATAACATAAAATTTATAATTTTAATTGTTTTTGAGTGTATACAATTAAGTGATATTAAGTACATTGACATTGTTGTGCAACCATCACCACTATTCATCTCCGGAATGTTTTCATCACCCTAAACTGAAATGCTGTACACATTAACCTGCAACACCTGACTATTTCCTTTGCTTAGCCTCTAGTAGCCACCATTCTATTTAATTTCTCTATTAATGTAACCAACTTAGGTACCGCATACAAATGGAATTATGTAATATTTGTTTGTGTCTGGCTTATTTCACTTAGCATAATGTCCTCAAAGTTCGTCCATGTTGTAGCATGTGTCAGAATATTCTTCTTTTTAAAAGCTGAATAGGGCCGGGCACGGTGGCTCACGCCTATAATCCTAGCACTCTGGGAGGCCGAGGCAGGTGGATTGTTTGAGCTCAGGAGTTCGAAACCAGCCTGAGCAAGAGTGAGACCCCGTCTCTACTAAAAATAGAAAGAAATTAATCAGACAACTAAAAATATATAGAAAAAATTAGCTGGGCATGGTGGCGCATGCCTGTGATCCCAGTTACTCGGAAGGCTGAGGCAGAAGGATCGCTTGAGCCCAGGAGTTTGAGGTTGCTGTGAGCTAGGCTGACGTCACGGCACTCACTCTAGCCCGGGCAAAAGAGTGAGACTCTGTCTCAAAAAAAAAAAAAAAAAAAAAAAAAAAAGCTGAATAGTATTCTATTTTATGTATATACTGCATTTTGTTCATCCATTCATTGGTCAATCATACCATCTGGTTTTAATTACTATTACTTTACTACATATCTTGATATCAGGGCTCTATGTTCCCCTTCTTTAGTTCTGTGTTTCAAAATAATCTGAGTTATTCTTAGCCCTTACTTTTACCTGTGAATTTAGAAACTGCCTAGAAGCTGTGCACACACTCACACATATGTGCACACACACACGTGCACACACAAAATTGTTTATAGATTTTGATTGAATTGCGTTGGATTGATGGATTAATTTGGGGATGATTTCCATGTATTAGATATTTAGTTTGATACTTTCCAAACATGACTAATTGTATGTCTCCATTTATTTAGACCATCTAAAATGATCCTCAATAAAGTTGTGTTTATTTAGTTATTTTTGATATTATAAATGGGATCTATATCTTTTAATTCCATTTTAAAGTAGTCGATGCAGGGAATAGGTCTTAACTTGGACAGGGAGTATAACACAGTGATTGAGAGGATTGTCTCTGGATTTGGACTCAGAGAGTTCAAATCATAGCTCTACTACTTACTTGCATAGATTAGTAAACTTTCTGTGCCTCAGTTTCCAACTCTATAAAATGGGGTAGTTATAGTAGTCCTGTCATAGGATTGATAGAGTTTGCACTTAAGGTTCTTAGCACAGTGCCTGGTAAATAATAGGTGAAAAAAAATTGTTAGTTATTATTACTATATTGATCTGTCCCCATAAACCTTGCCAAACTCTCTTATTCAAAGCCTTATGAAGACATAAAGATTTCCAGCAAAGGAAAATGCATGGCAAAATATAAAGACCAAAATTATTAAAATTTTATTTGTAAACTTCATTTTTATTTTCTACAGTATTTAAAACACAAATACATTAAATAATTATACATCTATGTTAATGGGTACACAATACATAAAGACGTAATTTGTGACAATAATATAAAGTAGGGGGAGGGGACAGAGTTATAAAGAAGTAGAGGTTTTGTACACAATTGAAGTTAAATTGGTATCAATTCAAAACAGATTGTTAGAACTTTGGGACGTTATATGTAATCTCCATGGTAACCACAAAGAAAATATTTATAAAATATACACAAAGGAAAATGAGAAGCAAATCAAAATGTGTCGTTATAAAAGATCAACTAAACACAAAGGAAGGCAGTAATGGAGGAATGAGGGACAAAAGAAGTTATAAGACACACAGAAAACAAATAACAAATGGCAAATGGCAATGCTTCCCTGTCAGTAATTATTTTAAATATAAGGGGATTAAACTCCCCAATCAAAAGGCATAGATTGGTAGAAAGACTAAAAAAGACTAAAAACAAAAAAC